AGTCCCATCATTCCCAACTACAATAATGTCATAAATACTTCAAATCCATTAGTCCTACACTCCCTAATTCATAATGGTTCAACAAAAAACAACCCATTGTTATCTAACATAACTAAAGAATTACCACATTCACCATTTGTGAAAATAGCTCAATAATTATCAAATTTCGGACACAACAAGATTTCCCAATCTCAAATCATGTTATGGAACCACATACCCAAATGGTCACATCGACACCAATGAGTGGAACATGCGATCTCTTAAACTTGACCAAGATTTTTCGTGTATTTATTTTGCCACAACCCTCGACGGCACATCAAATCTTGGATTAAAATTTGTCCACAAAAACATTAATAATTTTATTTAGTTAAAGGAAGCCTACCTCATGAACTTTATGCAATTGCAGAAATACCTAGCAGATCACACACCTTTATGGGTCGTCGACAATTTGAAGGAGAATCAGTTAGAGCATATTTCATATGGCTTAACAACGCTACTCTTGTTGTTCCTAGATAAGATAATCGAATGCTCATAGGCTTATTTTTATACGACCTCTTATATGAGTGGATATCCTAGACATTATTAGGTAAAATATCACAAACACATCATGAATTTAAGGAAATAGTCGAATGATACATTTAGTAAAGTGTACAAAGAAAAAAGGGTTATCATCGATCATTAAAAAAAAACTCTAACTACCCCCCCCCCCCCCCAATATGTCATGAAGTGCTTAACCCAACCCTAATAATAAAACAATTGTTTTGATCCATGGATACGTTGAGATTGTTACCTAGAAGAGTAGCACATCATATTGGTAATCGAAGTACTCTTGAAATTCATCGCCGAAAACTCAAGAGTGCTAACCTATAACCAAGACTCTTTCCAATGTTTTGATGGAAGTCTTGAAATATTAAACTTGATGATGATTTCCAAAGAGACAGTATACTTTGAAAAATCCATCATTGGTGGCACATTCATAGAAATAGTGTTGAAAAACATACATATTTGTCACATTCCTTATATAACGACAAAAATCTTGAAGGGTACAACTTTGCAAATAATGTCCAAAATCAGTTGGCTAATATGGAATTGATAGTGATGAAGAACGTTGCAGAAGAAAGGAGAAACACAAATATGAAAGCCAACATCAAAGGTCATGATAAATATGTTGACTTTACAAGGGGCATACCAATGAGAGACCCCTCGACGAAAATCATTAGTTCATCCCCAACACGAAGTTCATGAGTGATTCTTGAGAAAGAAAAGTAGAAAATGGAATGAGGACTGAGGGAGAAGAAGGACTAAAAGGAAAATAAAACCGTCTCCAAAAAAGAGGAAAGAGAAACCTAATGGGCAAGAAAAGACAAAAAAAACCGTTAACCGTACTAACACCCAACCAATACACATGGGGAACTGACGATTCGGTGCCTTCAGAAGCCTAAAAGACTACAAGAAACCATTGTCAAAAACTAAGTCTTAGGTGTTGACTTCATCGACATTAATTCTCCTAAGACTAGGGGACTTGATGGGTCCTCCTCAATCGCATCATTAAGTATCACCATCAACCGTAATAATAGCTATCTAATAGTCGTGTAGTAGCATTGTAATTGTGTAACAACCCTGCCCACATGTATCCATTCTACTCTGCTCAACATAACCTCGTCCCTTTACTCAAACAAAATACACCAAAGGAAAGTGACTACAGTAACACCCGTTTTTCAGATCAGATCAGTGTATGGCACCAAGGAGTCAAAGGTATGATTTTTGGGAAAAATAATGTGTCACGTCATGACAATAGGATGTTCACGATGTGATGAGCCAAATCAAGAACACGTGTATTTGATGAGTGCCATGACGTGGCGGTAGTATGGCCACGGTGTGACATCTGTTTTGGCCCAAGCCCGTGATCTTCTAGGGTTTCCTTCATATTTATATCCCATTAACTTGAATATAGGGTTCTTTATTAGCCTCCATCACCCTCAAATCCCAAAAAACCCTAACCCTAAACCCTCTTGGTGGTTCTTGGCTCATTTTTGTGTTTTTGGGTAGCTTGAAGAAAAAGAAGAAGGTGTTTAGTGTGTTGATCCAACAAGGAATCATCATCCTCATCATCATCATCTTCTGCATTCTCTAGACTCTTGTAAGTGTTCAAGATCCAAGATTTTTGTTCCAAGCTTCTAGATCTAGGTTTCTTGTCCCATTTCTTCAATATTGTGGAAGTTTAGATGGAAGGATTCCATAAATTTGGCAACTTTATGGATCCTTGAAGTCCCTTTAGGGTCATATGTTGTAGATCTAGGGTTCCTTGGAGTTTTTGGCCTCATACTCAAAGTTTGAGCTCATATTCTCACGATTATGATCTAAATTGGGAAGGACATGAAGTGGACATGAATGTCCATAAAGCTACGATTTTTATGGTCCACTAGGTGTAGGAAATCCTTCTGGAAACTTTGGGGAAATGGATTTTATGATGAAGTGCTTAATGGTTGAGTCATACCTTAAGTTACCATTAGAACCTAGGTTTTGAGATCTTGGTGTTTGGGGATGTCCTAAGGGATTAAGTTGGTAACTTTATCCATCAAGACCTTAGGAAGAAATAACTCTGAGCTTTGGAGCCCTTGGTATGGTTGGGGGCATCTTAATGCACTAAGCTGCTGAAGATCCAATTTCTAGGACGTTGCACCTTGCCGCCACGACGTGGCGACCAGAGTGAGCCCCGACTGTTTTTTCATCTTGCTGCCACGACGTGACCAATGGGAGGCCACGACGTGGCGACCTACTGAAGTGTTTTTGGTTGTTTGACTTTGGACCGTTGACTCTGAATTGTTGACCTGAGTTAACTTTTGCTCAAGATTGTTGGTTTTAGTGTGTAGACTAAGGTTAGACCTTGTATGTTTTGATAGGAGTGTGGTAGCATCTTTTGCAGGGCTTTGAGCTGTGGTTTAGCTGGTTTCGTGAGACATGTGAGTCTTCTCACTATACTGTGTAGGATGTTAGTTGTCTTTGTGACTCTTGCATTGTATGCTGGGTAGGTGACGTAATCTAAAAACACACGACGGATGAGCTATAAAAGAAAAACCATGCATAAGGAAGGTAAACAATTTCTGTTTCACCAAACAAACACACATAAACTCCATTCTCTCACTAGAGACCGACCTCATCGTCACAATGTAGCGTCCTCCTGGGATCTCCTCCCTGACATCAACTGTAGACATTTGAAAAATAGTAATTATGTTTTAAAATTTTCATAAATGGTTCATGTGGTTTCCCAAAATATCAAGTTTAGTCTCTAAGTTTTTTCGGTCTTATGGAAGGTCCCGGTGGTTTTAATTTCTATCGTAGTTGATCCATGACCTATATGAAATGACTTATGTACCAGTTTATTTTTATTTTTCCATTTTCTTTTTATTACAATAATTAAAAAAGCTAAAAATAAATGATACTGCTACTCCACTCCACCCCACCCATCCATCTCTTTTACAATACCCATATTCCACCATCTTCACCAGTTGCCTTAACTCATCAAGACAATTCACCCGAAACACCACATCCATCATTACCTGTAACCACTTGTTCCATCTTCAACCTCCGTTAACCATCACCTTTGCAACCATCATCACAAATTGCAACAACTATCGAAACCACCAATATGCCACCTCAACAAGACCACCTTATAATACTACAACCAAACACCACCATAAACCATAGAAACTGCAGCCACCTCCGATTCACCATCGAACCACAATCGTAAAACCCAACAAAACTACCCTTATCGCACCACCAAAACATCCTCAACTCATCTGTCTTTTTCAACTACTTGCTTCACCTCTTTCTTTGACCCTCAAGTTTCACTTGTCGCACCAGCCACATCGCACCACCACCATCTTCGGGAATCACCATCATAATCCCTACACCATCATCAACTGCTCCATGAACCATCTCATTTTAGCTATCCTTATACTGCCACCAATACCATCGCCTCAAACACATCGGAAACCACCACCTGATCGATTAAAAAAAGGCGGAGTTCCGATTTCTTGCTAAATGTCGTGAACTAAAGAAAGAAGAAGAAGGAAGATAAAGGTGGGGTTTCGATTTCTTGTTTAATTGATAGGATCTACATAATGGTTTCAATTTCTTTCTTACAAATGGATCTCCCCAATCGAGGAAGACAATGAAATCAAAAATGAATTATGAAATCATAAGTTGAAATCAAAACCAAATCCGACAACTAAAACACGAATCAAGACACCAGATTATTTTCGGGAAGACGATGTAGTGAAGAAGACCTACCAAAAGAGAGAAGCGTGGTTGTCGGCGTTTCCGACAAGAGAGAGAAATGTGAGACATGAAGAATATAAGAGTGTTATTTACCCTCATGAACCATGTTTGTGCTCACTCTAAGAATTCCGACCATGATGAAGATGGGGAAGCACCTTCCGATGATGGTGAAGATGGGGGAGGGAAATAACGAGTCTAAGAGGAAGAATGATGGTAGCGGGAGGTTATCAGAGGTAATATTTATTTCTTTTTTAGATAGTTTTAATTAAAGGAAAATATAAAAGAAATTAAAAAGCTTACAAAAGTAATTTCATACCGACAAGAGACCAATTAGGATAGAAGCTAAAACCACAAAGACCTAAATAAGACTATAAAAAATTAAAAACTAAACTTAATATTCTAAAAAACTATAATATTCTAAAAAACTATAATGACGATTTGTGGAGATTTGTCGACATGAATACAATACTTCTACTTTCGATAAATTTACAACTTAAATATGAAGATAAAATATAATCAAGTCAAATCATATACCATAACTTTATAAAGTAAATATTACCTAATAAAGTATATACAAATATGTTAAAATAAACCATATTTTCAAACTAAAGAATTTTATGTAAAATGAGATTTATAATGATTATTATATGAAAGAAAAATGGAAAAGAGCCCGCCCATATAATACATCTCTTCGGATTTCAAGTCATTTTCAAATTTCTGTTTCTTCAACCTCCGTTCTCTTCCCCTTCCCCTTTTAGAACCCTAATTGATTGTACTCTACTCTTCATGTAAACAATCCAAAATCAATTCCGGAATCACCTATTCCTCACACATTTTTAGCTCCACGCACCATAATCAGGGCTAAATCTGAACTCCATTGCAGCGTTCTTCTAAAATTTGTTGTTTTGGTTCAAAGTGCTAATGTCCGATTCAACTGAGCTTCCATCTGTATTACCATCTACCAAAACAGATTTAGAATCTCGGAATATACTTGGACCGGCAGGAAACAGAGTCAAGGTTAAAGAAGAAGAGAAGGAGAGCTTGAAGAAGAAGGTTGCGTTGGAGAAAAAGCCAAAGAGGTCCTCCATCAGATTAGAGAAGATGACTCCTCAAATTGTTGTTCGAAAGAATAATGACTCGCTAGACAGTTCATGTTCTTTGAAATCTTCTTCTTCCAGTGGTAGTTCTGTGAAAATCCCGAGCGTCAAACGAAGAGAGAAACATGATAGCAACAGTTTGAAGATGGAAGGAGAAGAATCTCCGATGATGACGTTATCTATTCCGTTTAAACGGTGTGATTGGATCACCAAATTTTCTGGTATGAAATTTTATTTTGAAATGTCGTTACTACTTATTTCCCTATGCCTGTACAGTTTTTAAACGATTCATGAAAATCACGCTGACAATTTTTGTTGGATTTGTAAAAGATTAGACCCAATTCATGGTTATTATATTACATAATATTCAAACAGAATACAAGCTTAATTACTTTCCTACTGTTCTCTTTGTAGATCCACTTCATGTTTCTTTCCATGATGAAGAATGGGGAGTTCCAGTTCACGAAGACAAAAAACTATTTGAGCTTCTTGTTTTGTCACAAGTATCTGCAGAACTCACATGGCCCGAAATTCTTTACAAGAGAGATAAATTCAGGTAAACATCTTGAAAACAACATTCATTCATGAATCATGAACTCTTAGCCTCTTAGATGTTACTAACACCTAAATCCATTTTACTTACAGAAAGTTTTTTGAAGATTTCAATCCATCATCCATTGCTAAGTTCCCTGAGGACAGATTATTGTCAACCAGGTCAAACGGTGGTGCCCTTTTGCTATCCGAACAAAAACTACGCGCCATTGTAGGAAATGCTGTTGCTTTGCTTAAGGTACTAAATATGAAATTGTCTATTAATGGGATAACTATGTACAAATCTAAAATGGGTTGGTTGAAAATTACGTCTTTGCCCTTAGGGAAGAACGATCGGTTTTTGCGTGGCATATTTACACTCTTTTCAGATTTCTTGTTGAGTCAATGTGTCTATTTTTTTTTGTGAAAAAGTCAACATGCTAAGTGGATTGGGCCTAGATTGCTTATGGATGGGTTGCTTCTTGCAATTTTTGGGCTTGCTAGGCCCAATTTCTTTTGTTTAGTGAAAAGGTCAACATGCTAAGAAGTTTGACTAAACTTGATACAACCAACTCTTATTTTTTGCTCTAGATAAATAAAATTGTTCTTTAATGCAAAAGAAAACATTTATATATAGCTTATCAGATTAAATCTAATATCAGATTAAATCTAACATTTATATATAGATCCAACAAGAATTTGGATCCTTCAGTGGATACTGCTGGCGTTTCCTGAACAACAAGCCAATAAAGAACGTATTTCGCTATGCGCGTCAACTACCCGCAAAAACACCAAAATCCGAACTCATAAGCAAGGATTTAATGAGGAGAGGATTTCGTTGTGTGGGCCCTACAATAATCTACTCATTTATGCAAATATCTGGTATGGTCAACGATCATCTTGTATCATGTTTTAGATACATGGAGTGCAATAACATTGACAAAAGGAATCCAAAGCCCAAAGCTAAACAAGAAACCAAAATCATGAATGATACTAATCTTTCCTATGAGTGAATATAATGCTTGATGCTAACTTAGGTAATTTAACGGTGATCTTTCTTGTAGTATTGTGTGCCATTTTAGTAGTATCAAGATTAAGAATGTTCATATTAGAAAGTGGGTGTTTTTGTGGTTTGTTGTCTGTAATAGTAATGTTTGGTTTGTTTTGTTTATGTTTGTGCTGTTGAGAAAGTTCTTAGGTTGATTGAATTATTTGGGGTTGTATAAATAAAATATGATCAACTGTTTTGCCTGATTGGGCAACATGTTTGTGTCTCTTGTCTGGTGAACATGAGGGTCTATTTTATATATATATATATATATATATATATATATATATATATATATATATCTATATATATATATATATATATATATATATATATATATTCATTTGAGACCATGTTAATTTTGTAAGACTGTAGGACGAAATCTAAAAACCAAATTTAAATGCAAAATAAAAAGGAAAAATCCAAAAAAAAAATTTTAATTATTATTTTCGTCATTTTTTTTACCTAAAAAAAATTAATAAAAATTACCTTTTTTTTTGAAAAATACGTGACATTCTAATAGAATATTACACTGTAAATGTTCTAATGTGATTTTTAGAATGTTAGAATATTCTAATATTCTACTAGATTTGTCAGATATGTAAAATATTCTAATATTTTACTAGAATATTTTAGAAAAACGGTAATTATTTTTTATTTTGGAAAATATAAATGACGAAAATAATATTTAAAAAAAAATTTCGAATATTTTCAATTATTTTGCATTTTAAAAATGTTTTTTTATCTACAAAATGAGTGATTACGATTGCGTTTTTCCGTCTCACAAAATATAACCATCTCATGAACTTAACCATATATATATATATATATATATATATATATATATATATACACACGGTTAAAAAACTCGGAATTGGTCGAACTCGGGTCCAACTTGATTAAACTCGGAGCAAATCAGTCTAACTCTGAAAAACTCGGTCAAATCGGTCAAACTAGAGATTTTTGACTCTTTAAAAAAAATAAACCAAATTGTTAAATAATTAATTTAACATATATCTATTTTCTAGCGTTGTCTTCATTGATGACTATGTTGTATTCACAAATAAAAACTATTGATTTCTATTTTACCTTTTTTCAAAGAATAAAACGAAATATATTAAAATAGAATATTTATGCCCTATAAATAAATATTATATCGGATATTAAACGACGAATACTTTTTACACTTTATTCATGGATGCATGTTGCTTTTGTATTTGTTTTAGGCCTTCATTTTTTCCAACAGAATTATATATACATATTAAACTTGGACCATGCTAGGGAATAGTGAACATGCTGGTTTTTGGCAAAACTGGTCCTTCGATTATTGGTATGTGTTCTCTTCTGGCTTTATTGCTGCCGATTTTTGTGTGGGGCATTTTATGCCATTTTTTCATTTCTTTATGACACATGTTGACACGTGTTCCTCACAGCTTTCTTCACCGTTTTGTAACCCAATCACATTCGGATCGGTGTTATTCTTCTTCACCGTTTTTGTTAGCGAGTTTATATGTGTCGGTTTCTTCGATTTCTTGCTTTCATTTTCTTTTTTCCACCGACGTCTCACCGCCTCTTTGCTTCACAGAAATCTGTATCTCTCAGATTTCCCACCGCTTCTTCTTTGATTGCGTTCACTTTTCATTCCATCTTCAACACCTCTGCTTTTGCTTTCTCCCTCTAATCCCGCTGTTAATACTCCTCAATTCCTATTTCTGGCTTCCGATCAAGTGAAGAAGTCGACAACGACGTCTCGACACACTCCGCTAAGGACACCCGCCTGCATCGCCGATCTCCGCCTGCTTCAGCTACCATCATCCCATCGCCGCTGCCTTCAGGCGATGTACCGACCACCAGACAACCTCCGCCAGCTTCAACCACCACAGTTCGTCGTTTACCCTCTGCTCCACCACCATCTCATCGATCCAGACGGACCCGTTTTCTACTTGCTCCAGGTATGTTTTCCCTGCTTGCGTGTCTGACCGCCACCGCCTCCACTCACTTCCGCTGTCGTGCTTTGGAATTCCTGTGGGTGGTTAACTATATAATATACGATTTCATTTCATTCTGAAAGACTTTTCAGTCTTCACAGTTCACACATACCAGCTTCAAATTCAAGAAGCTTCTTTTACCTCAAAAATCTCCAATCTTTGTCCATCGTCGCCGCTATCCATATCTATTTCCGGTAACATTTATACAGATTATACTTTCTGGGTGACCCTATAAACTCAATTCTAACCTATATATGTATGTTTGCAGAGCAACTTTTTTCCCCCTTCCTACAGCTCGACCTAACGGAAGCTATCCGCGTTGTGCTTAAGTGGTGAGTTCCAACTTCAATTTTATGCTTTTACAGTAATTCATTTTGTTCGTATTTGTAGTTTAAGGTTTTGAAGTAATATTGCGAACCTAAACATTTGTATTCATGTTCTCATTCGAAAATTTTTTGTTCTTCAGTAGACACGCATGCCGCATGTGGCTATTTGGTGCACTGTCGATGTTTTCATAGTGATAATTGCCACTTCAGCAATCATTAATCGGATAACAATATAATTATTTGATTGAAGTACATCAGAAAAATTAATTTATTCTGGATAATCAGTTCTTTCAGCAACTAAATCGGATAATTGTGTCTTGAAAGTATCAGAGAATCGTGATCAGAAATGATAACCATAATCAACAAATCGCTTTTGCACCATATCATAACAGGTTACATGATCATACACATGATTTAGTAATCTGACTACTATTGTCAAATTTTTAGGGCACACAAATGGTGGGTAGTAACATATTTGAATTCATAGAGAATGCTGTGATGACTCTACATGAAGTACTAAATGCAATAAGAATGGTGAAGAATGAAGCATTTGAAAAGATCAATCATTTAATCATCTGAAACAACCGCCGCCTGGTTTGGGGGTGTGACATCATCGACCATGCTTCATCACTAAGTACCTTTCTAATTTCACCTATCAATTTCTTCCCATTTACCTCTTTAAACTGTATTATAACTTATCTTAATGAACAACACTGTAACATGTTCTTTGCAAATGGAGCCATCCTTTGTGGATTTCATGGTTGGGGAATTTTCACGGGTTTTAAAGCCTGGTGGAGAAATCTTTATTCATCAAAGTTTTGATTCTGCCAAAAAAGAATGTAAAACATTTATCTTCTTCCCCAAAGTGAAACTAATCTAAGGTTTGTGTCTTAATTAATTAATCTCTCTTACCTGTTTTGCAGATAACATCCTTCCTTGGGCGCAAGTTATTAGTTACAGGGTTTTCAAATATTGAGGTGGTTTAGATGGCAGAGGTGCTGTCTGAAGGTCTCCAGTCTTTTGGGGTAAGCAAAATTCAAAGAAGTCAATAGGCCACCATTTGTGGGACCCAAAATTATTATTTTTTATGAAACTTTGAAGTGGTTAAATTGATATAATATATGAATGAAGTTTGGTTTATTGTCATCAGGTCAAGGGAAAGAAGCCTTCTTGGAAGGTTTTACCAAAAGTTGTGGTTGTTGATGAAATGGATGTTATAGATGAAGATAGTCTCTTATCTAAAGAGGATTTGAAGAAGTCCTAACTCCCAACAAGTAAAGACATATTCAAGTTTATATATATGATCTGAGTAGTTTCATTGAGATATTTTCGTGTCAAGATTTAAGTAACTTTTCGTTTGGTATCTTTATGCATTGGCTTATATCGATCTCCTCAAAATTTTCATGTTTATGTAATTTTAAATCCATTTTAGTTTATCAGTATAAGAGTTATTTTCTCAATACTTTATAAACTAAAGATGATGCAATTTTTATAGATTTCGGGAAGGTGGACCTCACAATTAATTCAGTCTGGTGGTGGAATTTCAGGTGAGTATGTTAACTTTTTAATAAAAGAAGATTCCAATGTTTATTTGTTCATTTATAGTAGTTTTACTTACCAATTCTTCCATTTGTATGACCATAAAGGGGACAACTTGACTCGATCTTTAGAATCAACTACACGGATTCTTGGATTGGAGAAGATGAGAAACGTACATCAAGAATAATAATGTTTCAGGTACCCGTCAAAAAAGGGTATTTTGGTTAGTCCTAGAAAATAATAGGTATTTGAAACCCATTTATAATTTTTCTATTTGGAAATTTTTACAAATTCAGCACTTAAGGGATCTCAAAGTTGCAAGAGCTTATCAAGATATAGATAAAACTGCCAAGTAATTTGCAGTCCTCACACTCCCGGGCCAGAACAATTATGCTTCCGCATCTCAACAGTTGCGGCCAATTTAGTCATCATAGTATCTCTAGCAATCAACCGATCTGGCCGATTGCATAGAAGGTAATAACAAAGAATGAGGTTCATGAAATGCATTTTTATGCATTTCAACTTTTTTAAGGGTATTGGTCCTTTTTTATATGTTTTCTCATTCTCCTTCATTTATAGGTTCCATTGGGTTTGAAGCTACAAGGGAGACCTGATAAAGGTGAATGAGGAGGAATTGGAGCAGTACCCACGAGAGGAAGCAGTTGGACTGGTTCTGCTTTTGACTAAATTTGGTCAAAATAAGTTTGTAGCTTTTGTTCAAATTTTCAGTTTGGGTATTTCTTCATGCAGCGTCAGAATGAAGCTAATATTTTCGAATAGTTGGCTTTTTAAGATTGTTGGTCATTCAGATTTGTTGCAGTCAACCATGGGTTCTTTTCAAATGTGTTAGACTTTGATTTTTTCTATGTTTTCTAATGATTCCTTATTTAATCATTATACTTAAATGTTGGATATGTGTTTTTGTTCATCTGTGTAGCTTTAAGAACCCAACATATGTGTTTTAAAAAGAGAATAGATCTCAATTTTGCTTCTACTTTACTTCGTTTTTTAGCATCATACTTTCATATTCAAGTAACTATAGCATCCTACTTCCATGACGAACGACTGATAAACGATGACACCAGTTCTGTCGGTTTTCTATGACATTAGTGGCGAATCCAACCCCCGCGAAGCGGTTTTGCTCTGTTTGTTCGTAATATTAGATGAGTAAGTGGATTACAGTCTCTATATTTACTCCAAATTACTATGTAATCATTTTTATCGATAACAAGCACGATGTGGCCAAAATGACCGGAGCTGTCCGAATCCATCCCCGCAAAGCGGGGTTCCTCATCTAGTTTATAATAAATTTTATCTTTT